CACACACACACACACACACACACACACACACACACACACACACACACACACACACACATTGCACTTAGCGCTCACACCCTATCGGCTATGGTGTCTCTCTCCTCCCTCGATAGTCCTAGCTATGACATTACAAGCAAGGTTACGCTGCCAGTTTGCTCGAGCAGTCGCTTCAAACCATCGCACAAGTGTTTAGCAGCACTTCTGCAACTTGCCAAAGAACAAGTGAGTCGCTCAGGTATTGTAGCTGCTTATGCAGCAACTGCGATTGACAATTGTGTTGGCTCTGGACCGGTAATGTCCCCTAGGGCTTGTCGACTGCAATTGTGCCGGTTCCGGAAGTTGCTGCGCCTTCCTTGGATGCTGCTGCTATATTTGGATTGGGGCTTGGACTTTTCCTGTCAGGTACCCAACCTACTGGACTCCTAACTACGTTGGACGTCTAAAGGCCTAGGGGCCTGAATCAGCATTTCGGCAGCAGTACATGGGACCACTAGGACATCACAACCAGTAACGCGCTTTTTCGGTCAAACCTCCCTTTGGCGACCGGAATTCCAACAGGCTGTCATGCATGAATTTTTAGAAATTATGCACAAATAACAATGCAAATAGGGTAGTTTGGCCGACCGTCGGCGCCCCCGGAACACAGGCGGCCGACCTGCCTACAGTAGGCGACATCGTCGCCGACCGCTAGGCCCTATCGGGCCCGTCGTCCTATCGGGCACGTTGTCCACCGTCGGCCTCACCGACCGACTTTAAGGAGAGGCTGGGCCCCGGGAAACTTCGTAGGCTCTACAAAAGTGAGAGCAGAGCAGCATGTCACACCATTTTGCTGCTCTCACTTTTGTAGAGCATCGGTGTTTAGCCCTGTGTTGGTTCCCCTCTTTACTTCTGTTCTCGAACCCCCCAAACACTCCCTGTCCGCCTCCTCGAACATCCCCCAAACACACCTTGAACCTCCCCCAGAGAACCCCCTGAACACCCCCCAAACACCTCCTGAACCTCCCCCACAGAACCCCCCATCACCCCCTGAATACCCCTCGAACACCCCCCAAACACCCCCTGAAAATCCCTACCCCCACCCTGCACCCTCCAAAACAAAAAAAAATATTGCAGATTTGGGCTGCAGAACAACCAGATACTCAGAAAAGAAAAAAAGAAGTCCAAGGCAGTGTGCTGACTGATAGGCAGACCCCCTACTGGTCGGCCCGACCGGTAGGTCCTACAGTTGGCGTCAGCCGTAGGCGCCCAGACTACCCTGAATGCAAATAAATATATCCCTTCCTGCTAGGCTCATCCGGCTTAGAGTGACACTCTTCAATTACAGCCTACACCTGATGCCGGTCTTAGGAACCTTTCATTTCGGTTCGTAACATAATAGAAATGAGCAGGAAATGAGAACTGAAGAGCCGATCTGAGCATTTATGTCAAGGTTGCCATTCAGGATTGAGGGCTGTGACATGAACAAAGGAGGACTCAGAAGAAATCAAGATGCAAGACACAAGCCTGACTCGACATGACGAGGTCTGCAAGATTATGTGAGGGAAGGAGAGAGCTCATTATCACATCAAGGCCACAAGACGTACAAACAGATCATAAAACCATTACCTCCACAGTCAACTCTTTCTCCCCTCTGAAGATGGTGTCGTACTCGGAGGATTTAACAATGGTTAGTATGCTCTCCAATGGTCCTTAAGCGAGTCCGTATGGTGCTGAGTTGTAATTGAGAGGAGGTCTGCTGTGGCCTGCATCTGAGAACGGTGCTGAAGTCACGAGTCTGCTCTGCTCGAGATGTCTGTGGTGCTGAAGAAGATCCTGCCTTGAGTCTGCAATGCTCAAACACTTGCTGATCTCAAAACTGCTTGCTTGTGTGCTTATTAGTTTTGCTGAACGCTAATGCCACCAGGAGTAGAGCACTTGCTGTGACATAAATTGTTGCTGTTGTCATAAGAAGTGCCCACTATGACTACTACTGCTGCGCTCACCGGGACTGCCTGCTGTGACCTGCATCGTCGCTGCTACCCCTGGGACCTCCCGCTGTGGCTAGCACTATTTTTGCTATCACCAGATTGCCTACTGTGACCAGCACTATTGCTGCTGTCACTGGGATTGCACGCTGTGACCTGATTGGGTCCCCTAAGGTCGTGGTCTGCTGAGAGAGAATTAAGTTCACCGAGAGTGAATTGAGATCACTGAGATTGAGTTCAACGAGTCAGAACGAGCAACATTCGGCGAAAATAACACTCCTGGTTAACCACATGTGACTCACTGAAATTGAAACTGAACTCACAGAGATCGAGTTTACGGAGACTGAACTCACCGAGACTGAAATTGAGCTCGCCGAGGTTGAGCCCACTGATACTGAAACGGAGCTCGCTAAGATTTAGCTGATTGATACTGTACTGAGCTTACTGAGACTAGATTGAATTAAGTCAATGAGCCGAGTTCATTGAGATTTTCTGAGATTTTCACTGTGTGAATTGAACTGGGTTCATAGAATCTGAACTGAAATTTTCTGAGATTTTCACTGTGTGAATTGAACTTGCTAAGATGAAACTGATTTCACAGAGTCTGAATTAAACTTACTGAAACTTAATTGAAGTCACAGAAGTGAAACTGAATTCTCTGAGTCTGAAGTAAATTTACTGAAACTAAACTGAGTTTGCTGATTAGACTTCCACTAGATCTGAATTGAGAACTGACCTGAAATTTCTGAAACTGGTAGCGAAAACTCCAAATGAGGCTCTACTCAACTCGCAGTGAAAGCTGCAGCTGAATTTAACTGTGAGCGAAAACTCCAAATGAGGCTCTACTCAACTCGCAGTGAAAGCTGCAGCTGAATTTAACTGTGAGAACTGCATCCCAGATTTACTGGAGCTTTGTACTAAAACTGCATTCAAGGTCAAGTGGAATCGCTGTGGATGCAATTCGGGACGGACA